TCACCACCATCATCATCACCATCCTCACCATCACCACCATCACCATCATCATCATCATCATCATCCCTACCATCATCATCATCAATACTAGAGGGCAATAGGGGCCTGTGGAAAGGGCTAGATTCACCAGAGAAGCCTGGACCATTGCTATTCCAAGGGTGAATGCCAAGCCTTGGGTGACTCATCCAACTTGGGAGCCCCCAGTGGGCACATTAGTAGGAAGGGGCCAGGAGCAGAAGCCTTGGGCTCAGGGCCTCAGGGCTCAAGATTGTTTATTAGTGGTTTGCAGCTTTGGCTGCCTAGTAGAATTACCCAAGATTTTTTTTTTTTTTTTGTTAACGTCCCAATGCTGGGGATACAGCCTAATTCAATCAGAACCTCTGAAGTGGGGGGAGGAGTGACACCAAGAACTGGGTGATTCCAGTGTGCAGCCAGGGCCCAGAACCGCTGGGTCAGAGGCATTTTTATCAGGTGGTATAGACCAGTGTTTCTCAAACTAATGTGGAAACGTATCACTGGGGCATCTTGTGAAAATGCAGATTCTGATTCAGTGGGTCTGAGCTGGGGCCCGAGGGTCTGCATCTCTACCGAGCCCCCCGGATGATGCTGGTTCTGTGGGTGCCCAGACCACGCCCTGAGTAGCAAAGGTGTACCACCCCACTGTAGGGCCAGGCAGCCTCCTTTGCTGCTCTGTAGTTAAATGGCTTCAGCCAGTTGCCAGCTGTGTGTTGGGCAAGGCATTCAGTGTCTCAGATTTCAGACCTCTCAGCTGTAAAAATGGGGAGAAGAGTAAGACTTGTCTTCCAGAAGCAAGTGAAATGAAGTAAATCGAGTAAGATCAATTAATGTCTTATTTACATAAAATGCTTAAGCATTGCCTGGCATACTGAATAATTGTACAAATGTGTCTTATATGAGATATATTACATGTATCTTGCTGCTCAGAGACTGTCAGTCTCTTTGGGTTTAACCAATTTCCTGCAGTAGATTTTTCTCTAGGGAGTTGGGGGTGGGGATGGGGGGATGGGGATGCAGGCAGAAGAATTAACAAATAAGGAAAGAAAATTTTAATGGGTAATGTGCAGCTCTTCCCCAGAGGGACCAGAGATTCTTATTGTACCCAGATGTCACCACAGACCTCTTCATGGCACTTTCTGTGGGCTGGGCACTGGGGAACACAGGGAGGATTATTAACGCCTTGGCTCCTGTAGTCCAGACGTGGAGAGAAGGTGTGTGCAGGGAGGGGCGAGGTCCCAGTGAGAAGGGGTTCCCCTGTGCACCCCTGAACACAGGTTGGTGTAGGAGGCCTGGACGAGGAGTAGACGGTTCTGTGTTCCAGTCACCCATTAGCCACCTGTTGTCTTAGGCAAGTCAAAGACTTTCTCTAGACCTTCTGAAATGTGTCTGATGGTAATCAAGGAGATCAGTCGAGGTCGTGAACTGGAAAGAGTCCTATCAGTGTAAGCCGCTCCTTTATAAATAAAGGCACCCGAATTTCCTCTTTCTGAATTTGACAGCAGGTTGCTGCTGTGGGGAGAAAATATTTGTTATTGGCCTCTGGAGGTTGCCCCAGCTTTCAGGGAACAAGGTGGGTGGGTACCCTGAGGCAAGAGGGGCACCCCAAGATGTGGTTTTTCTTTGTGGGAGGCAGAGATGGGAATACCAGGCTGTCCCCAGCGGAGGTAGGATGCCACTTCCTCAGAAAGCATCTTTGTGAGTTAAGGGAGTCCCCGGGGCTGTCTCAGCTACCCCAAGGCAGGGGGCCAGTCCTCCCTCGTCCCCCTCCTGGAGCCTCCTCCTTAAACAGGTCCCAGCCTGGGTAGGAGGGGACAGAAGGCATAGAACCCATCCTCTCCCCTAGCCCCATTTTGCACATAAATCCCACTTATCCCCTGACAGAGGTCTCTGGCACAGACTAGGTCCCCCCCTCACTCCTGCTCTGCTCTCTCTGTGCCCTCAGCTCTCTTGGTAAAGCCATGGGCCCTTAGAAGGGGATCCACCCGGAAGGCCTAGCCCTGCCCGTTTTGGGTATCTCCTCCTCCTCAGGCCATGTTCCCTCTAATTTAAGCTAGCAAGGCCAGCAAATGCCTGCCCTTAAGGGGACAGAGTTGGATGTGTGACTTAATAAGGCCGAGAGCCACAAGTAATCCCCTAAGTACTTGCCCTGTAACCTGAGATGATCTGGCCCGAACACACCTGTTTTCGCTCCTTTGCTGATAGCAGTATAAAAAGCATGCCGGTTAATGACTCTAGGAACTGACGAGGGGGTGGAATGTCCAAGCATCTGTCCTATCGTGGAAAGATCTCCTGGTGAGCCTGGCTGCACGTGCCTGCCGCAAGGGATCCCTGAGTTTCCCTCCTTGTGGTGATCAGGACCCAGTGGAGGCTTGAGAGGTGGGGCTCTCGGGGCAGCTCAGCCGCTCACTCCCCGAGGGATGGACAGTGGGTGGGAGGGAGGCCGAGTAACACCCGCTCTGCTTGCCTCAGAAGACCAGGGAGGGAGGTCCACATCTCACTCCCGGAGGACAGGAGCTAGGTTGCGTTAGACTCTTTAGAGAAGCGGAGTGAGTGCCAACCCTGTGAAACTGACCAATGGTGTTCTAATCATTTAGAACTGCAAGTTTCTGCTTCGGGTGGCACAGAAGATGTTGGCAATTTGTTGGAGAATCATTTCTCTGCTGGAGAAGCAAGTCTAGAGGAGAAGGAAAGGGCGCTTTATGCGGAGGCGGCCCCTCGAGAGAAGACCCTGCTCCTTCACTCCCCGGATGGCAGGGAGGCTGAGAGCTCGGAGCAGACAGCCGCTGGGGCCCCTGCCGGTGACGGCCCAGGCTCTGGTCCCGAAGTCAGCCTCTCCAATTCCTCAGCCTCAGAGTCAGCTGCCCCTGGGGACCCTGCGGGGTCTGGGGAGGAAGAAGTGGGCCCACTCGGAGCCAGCACCCTTCCAACAGAAGGGGAGGGCGGGCCTGGAGAAGAGCTGGGGTTGGGAGAGGGCCCAGGACAGGAAGGGGCTGCCGGGGAGGCCAAAGGGCAGGCTGGGAGTGGCTTGGTCCCTGAGGAAGCTGAGGAGGTCCGAGGGGACCACCCTGCGCAGGGGGCAGCAGGAAGGACTGCACAGCCGGAAGTCTTGGGAGCTTCTCCTGGCATGGAGGTCACGGAGGTCCACACCCCTGAGACACGACAGGAGGACAGCCCAGGGCCTGATTGGGAGCCAGAAGTGCCAGATGGAGTCTTGGACATGGACACAGAAACCAAGAAGGGGGCCGAGGACCGGGGGGAGCCCAGCCCCAGCCCAGCCTCGGAGACCGGCCATGCACAGAGCTCCGAGGCAGGGGGCGCCCAGGAGGACCACCCCCCCGAGGGCCAGGCACCAGGGCCAACCGAGGAGGGCCTGGACGAGGCCTCCTCTGAAGAAGAGAGTGGTGACCATAGTGGAGGCGAGGAAGGAGGAGCTCCATCAGAAGAAGAATCTGAGGAGGAGAGTGGTGATGGGGAGAGTTCAGAAGAAGCAGGGGATGCTTCGGAGGAAGCCGAGGAACCCCAGGAAGCAGCGGGAACTAAGAGCCCTGGAGATGACGAGGGGACCCAGCTGAGCTCCGAGGAATTAAATACAGGGCCCGAGGGGGACGAAGCAGAGGAGTCTAAGGAGGGGCCTCAGGGTAGGGGATCACCAGGATAGCTCTCAGCACTCTTCTTGGAAGACCTGTGTGTGGTGGGACAGGCAGGGGCAGGGTGGGGCGGGAGAACACCCAGCCAGCTCCGGGTTTGCTGGGTGGAGGCGCCGGCCAGGTTGCCTGGCCCATGGGGTGCCTTTGGGCCGCTCATGAGCCACTAAACCCTGTTGGGAGGGACCAGTGGGAGGCTGCACCATGTAGGGCCCAGAATAACCTGGTCACTTCCGAGTGAGGCCCTCTGGAGCCTCCCTGTTAGGGTCCCTCAATCTACTTTAATGTGGGCCAGTGCCTTAACCTGAAGGACATGGGACACAGTGGCAGGTTTTGGGGCCCTGTGGTGGCAGGCTGGTGGAGAGAGGTGTGGGTATGGTGTGTTCTGGAGCTCCCTGGGTTCTCCCCTTGAAGACTAGGCTGGGTCTGGTGGGGTGGACGGGGACCAGGGTCAGGATGGTGATAAGAAATCTCAGGCTGGCTGGGACTGATGTCCTGCAGGACTGGGGGATGGGGCACAGGGGAGGGCAGGGCCATCACTGGAGATATAGTGCATCCTAAGGATGGCCGGCGCCCCCCCAGGCCACATCCGAATATGCTGGCCTGGACCAAGAGCGGCCTTCAGGATGGAGGACCTGAGCTCAGTCCTCACTTTCCAGCATGGCTCCCCCACAGATTTCCTTGCAGGATTTAGTTTCCACACTGCTTATTGGGCACTTGCACCCTCCACAAGGGGAAGGGCCTGCAGCCAGCCGCTGGCTCCCCTTTTCCCCTGTCCCTTCTGTGCTGCATCTGGGGTTGGGCTGCCCCGGCAGATCTTGGTGGAGAATCACATTCCTGAGGTGTTGCACGAGGCACAGTGATTCTTCTTTGCTCCCATCCCTTGTCGAACTGGTCTCCCCTGCCCCTCATGCCCAAGTCCATCCCACCCGGTAGGCCTACAACGTGGGCACCCCTGCTTGGGAGCCTGCAGGGGGTCACCAGGGCATCTCCCACTTGGTCAGAAGCGAGGGTTGCCCTCCCCCCCTCTGGCCCAAGACATCCAGCTGCAGCTCCTCCCACCCAAGCCCCATAGTAGCCTGTGTGATCCTGATAAAATGCTCATTTTTGTCAGGTCAGCTGTTTGCTTAGAGCCCCTCCCTGGCTGCCAGTGCTCCTAGGAAGTAACGCAGACTCCTATAAATGGGTCCTGTCTCTTGCCCCCATCTTACCTCCTGAACTCCTCCCCTCTGATCTCAGCTCCCAGGGAGGGTTTCTGACTCCCCAGCTGGGATTTCGTAGGCACACATCTTAGCCAGGCCCCCATAGCTTCTGGAATCTTTCCTGCCATAGCCACAACACTGACTGTAATTATCACCTTACTTTCAAGATGATTTCTCCCCCGAAAACTCCGCAAGGGCAGGAGCTATGTCTGTTTTGGGCACCACTGCATTCCTAGCATGGAGCTCAGTCCTGACCCATGGTAGGTACTCAGTCCGTATTTGTTGAATACGTGAAATGGATCATGGAGTTTAGCAGAAGTTGAGTTTGGATTTTCAGAGTCTCCTCGAGACAGAACTCGGTTCAGTTGAACTTGGCAAGCCTTCCTGCAGCACTTCCTTATGCCCTTTCCTGCAAAGAGCAAAGCCCGGCTCTTAGCTTTGCCCTAACGCTGCTCTGTCCTTCTCTCCCCAGAAGAGGCAGAGGATGTGAGTGAAGAAGCCCCAATGAGGGACCGCTCCCACATTGAGAAAACTCTGATGCTGAATGAGGACAAGCCAGTGGATGATTACTCTGGTAACCAGAGGAAGGACTTGGGACTGGGGCTGGGTCCAGGGCTGGGCTCTGAGGCCCACAGGTCCCCAGGGCTGAGAGCCCTGGAGATGGGGGGCTCTGTGGAAGAGGCTCCCAGAGCAGTGTCCAAGGCCTGGGTGGGGGCTCTGGATTGGCAGGGAGGAGGAGAGGTGATCCAAGCAGAGGGAACAGGGCCAGGGTCGAGGACAAATCCCAGTACTGCCGCCGGGGGCCGGGTACCAGCCTTCATGCGGTGGCCAGGGAGGTTTGCTAATGAGAGTTCATCCCATCTGCTTTGGTTTTTACAGTTTATAAAGCCCTTTTATTCCTGGCACTTCATCCTCAGAATAACCCAAGGCTTTCAGTGGGGCTCATGTCTCCTCTTCATTGAGGAGCTAGCTGGAGCTCAGAGCAGCCTCGGGTTTGCACGGGTCTCATGGGGCGCACAGCTAGAGAGGAGCAGTGAGAAGGTCGGGTCTAGACAGCCTGGCTTGGGGCCCCAGTTCCTCCTTCTGGGCCTCACACCCTGCAGGCTCCCTGCCTCACCCTGGGAGTTGCTTCTCCCTGGAGGGAGAAGAGGATCAGGTTTAAAAAAAAAATAGTGCAGGAGGTTTTGAGGGTGGGAGGGAATGCCTTTTGGTTAACGATTTCTGAGGGTTGGGATGTGGACCAACTCCCTCCAGGAATGCTAATGTATGGCCGTAGAATGAGGCTGCCAGCTGGGGGGAGGGGTCCTGCAGAGTGAGCCTGGACCCTCTCCTTCACCCTCTCCCTTCACCCTTCTCTGCCCCCAGTGGTACTGCAGCGGCTTCGAAAGATCTACCACTCATCCATCAAGCCCCTGGAGCAGTCTTACAAATACAACGAGCTACGGCAGCACGAGATCACAGGTACCCTCGTGGCTGATGCTGTTTGCTTAGAGCCCCTCCCCCGTCCCTCTTGAGCTGTGTGAGTGGCGGGCGTGAGGACACGTGGAGCTGAGCTCTCCTAGATCCCCCCCGGAGGCCTCGGTCCCGGGATCATCCTTCCCCTGCAAGGGTACCCATATCTGCACAGGGTTTGGTGGAGACCACGTTGTTTGCGTGCGCTCATGCTTCAGTAGTACAGTCATGGTTTCCCAGTTTCCATCTCTCCTGTGCTGAACAGCCCCCCAGGGCCCCTGACTGCGAAGAAGTCATGGGTCAAGTTCCCTAATTTGCCCGGAATCCTTTTTTTTTTCCTCCTTATCACTTCTTCAGTTGGCTTTCCTTGGGTCTGGATTCATTTTCAGAATAATAAAAACAAGGGATACTTGTTGCCAAAAAGAAATCAAATAGTGGAAAACAGTACGGATTGAAAAATAAAAATCCCTCTCTTGATTTTCAGCGTCTCCCCTTCCACTTCAGAGACTCCCTCTGTTATAGTTTCCTGCAAATACTTCCAGACATTTGCTCTGTGCCTGTGAGCAAACACAGGCGCGTCCCTCTCTGTTTGCGTTTTGCCCGATGGTATCACAGCGCATGGTTGTGGGTGCGCAGCCGTGCTTTGCTCTTTCTGAGCCTCTGAACGCACCACTCTAGGTAGTCATTGTCCAGCTGACGGACGATCGGGCATTTGCCACGTTCAGTTCCAAAAACGTTCCAAACGCGACTCTGATTGCTAGGTATTTTCGTGCAGATCCATTTGTAGGACACATGTTTCCAAGTGCAACAATGGAGTTAAGCATTTTCGTAGTTGTTGCCAAGTCGCCTTAGGTCGGACCAGTTTGTGGCCACGATAATGGTCTGTGAGAGTCTTGTTCCCCCGCAGCCGTGCCCTTTTCCCGAGCTTCTCCTCTCCGAAAACTTTCATGGTGGTGTCTGGTTGAATGGTGAGTGGCGTTACACATCTCTCTCTCTGTGAACTGGGGGTTTCTGTATTCTCTCATGTGATGCTCTCGATGGCTCTAAAGTGGGTAGGGTGTTTAGGCTAGACATTATTCCCGCTTCACAGAAGAGGGCCCTCACGCGAAGACACCAGGGATTCGCAGCCTCCCTGTGTCTCACCTGTGGCCTCCTGCACATGGCAGTAGCGCCCCCTGCTGCAGACAGCTGAAACAGCAGTCCCCAGAGAGCCCGTTTCTGGTTGGTTTCTGGTTCGTTTCTGGTTCGTCTCTGCTGGAGCTGGAAGGTCCAGTTCCCCTCATGTCTCCCAGGCCTGGGCCAAAGACATTCTCTGTAGCATCTCTGTGGTTGTAACTGGGGATTCCTGCCACCCTCTCCGACTGCCTATCCCTTCCTGTCCTCAAGCCAGGGGCTGACACCCAGAGATGCCTGCAACTCATCGTGAGTGTTTTCCGGCAGGGAGGAATGGGGCGGGGCCGTGGTATCAATTTCAGGCAATTATATATGGCCTGCCATTTATGAGACACCGTCTTGGTCTTCTGGGACTAAGTTTCACCTTCGAGAAAGAAAACCAGCACCTCGGGTGCCTGGGTGGCTCAGTTGGTTAAGCGACTGCCTTCGGCTCAGGTCATGATCCTGGAGTCCCGCATCGGGCTCCCTGCTCAGCAGGGAGTCTGCTT